ACACAACATCTCTCCATTCATTTACGTACAAAATCCCTGATTTTAAATTTTAATTCCTTTTTAGGTTTTAGCCCCTCCCTTGCTCCCTTCTCCAGGACCTAATCAAAGGATCAGGGCCCCTTCCTCCTCACCTGACTTGGGGTCGCCAGGCTTTCCATTGGCCATGGGGGGAGGGCCCAGAAGGCTGGGTGGTCCTAAGAGTAGACATGAAAATACGGTCATCAGAATGGATTAAAGGACTGATGATCCTGTTTCTTTCTATTACTCATTTCTTAATCTAACCAGTAAAGCCAGGTATATTCTCAGCAGTGTTACAAGTTCTCACCCCACCTATCTGCAAAGCTCTTCAAGGTTTGCAAAGTGGAGACTCAGTCAAGGGAGGGAAGGGTAACTACAAACTTTTTCTATTACATTGTTGCTAACCAAAAGATCCCAAGAGATTCCAGAGGCCATCTAATCCCTCTCTTTAACTGCTGACCAATCAGATAGCTTTCTCCCTCACCCCGCCACCGAGTAGTTTAAAGAAAACTACACTTCCACCTTCCCTGTGAAAGTCCGTTCACAAATTGTCATCTCAGTCACTGCAACCTGGAACCTCTCTATTGACCCTCTCCCTTGTCGTTTTGTGGCTGCGCACACAAGCTCTTTATCTTCTTCCCTGCCTTCTTTAGAAAGGTTTAGGGGCCAGTTTGAAGTTGAGGGGTCAAGTAAGAGAACTCATTTAGTATGCTCCATCCCAGACAGTCCTCCCCCCGCCCCCGCCCCAGCGCGTGCGCCCTTCCTCCTTCCGTTGGAGTCCCCTCCCCCGCACCTTTTCAGCCCCTAACCCCATGACTCGACCGGCTGACAGGCATGTGCACACCCCTCCCGGGCTCCTCACCGATGGGACTCCCATCCTCCTCGTCTCCAATCTCTTCCTGCTCTGGTAGTGGAGGCTGTTGCTGCGGCTGCTGCTGCTGCTGATTCTGCTTCTTTCGTTTCGGCATCGTGGTTGCGGCAATGGCTGCAGCGGGATTTGGAGGGCAGTGAGGAAGGGGCACGCTGGGATTCCGTTTCCGCTTCCGGGGGGGGCGATGGACAGTGAGGCTGAGACTCCCGCCATTTCACTTCCGGAAGGCTGCGGGGACCATTTGTGCGGCTCGTTCTCAAATCAGCCGCCTCCCTCGGTCTCTGCCAGGCATGGTGGCAATCTCAGACGTTTTCTTTGCCGCGTTTCTATAAATGCTTTGAGAAAGTTGCTCGCTTCTCTTCTCGCTGAAAAAAACCCCACAGCCGGCTCCTCATAGTGTGCCATAGAGTTGAAAGGCTCTCGGGCCAGAAGGCCTGATAAGAGAGAGCTGTCGCATCCTAAGATCGCCACATCCGGTCCCCGGTTTCTATGGTAACAGCTGCAGGCACAACTTCGTGCCCTATGACCTCCCTCCAAAAATCCTTGTCCCACCTGGGTTTCCCGCCTCACCAGCGCTTGCACTTATGAACTGAAAACCTGCTCCTTATCATCGTCCTCACAAGGAATTTCGGTCCACGCAGGGCGTTGCCCAGGGCTCTCCAGACCTCCATCCGCCCCTCAAGACCTCTGACCCTGCCGCCAGGGTAGCCCAGCACCTCGGCTTCCTTCGCCGGACGCGCAGTCGCGGCTTTCCTCTAAGGTTCAGCGAGGGTTGGTAAAGTAGCTTCTGCGGGTCCACGCCCCTTTCTCCCCACGTTGGTAGGGCCCGCCCTCCGCTCCACCGCCCCCTCCAGGTGAGTGGTAGCTTCTCCCAAGCGCGCAAGGTAGTGATGACACGCTTCCCCCCTCCTCCGAACGCGAGTTGGTAGCGTCCGTGACGAAGTTAGCCCGATCCTCCCACGCGCGCCTTCTTCTTCGCCGCCGCTGCGCCCTCTCGGTGCCACTGGCTCTCACGTGCGGGTAGCCCACCCAGCATCATCCTCCCGCCTCGCTCTCAGAGGGAAGTGACTGTATTTCCCCCTCGGTT